GACTGCTGGATGAACACATGTACTATACTGACTCCTTGTTCCTATGAGTCAACTCTAACTTCAAGGGAACCATATTCATGAAAGAAATGCCGGATGGCAGGAAATCCTAGATGGCCATGCTGCATCAGGTAAAGGCAGCATTAGGTTCCGTGGGCCTCGCTGATGTCCACAGGGAAAATTCTTCATATTTTTCTCCCTTTTTTTCACTGAAAATATAACCCATAGGAAATAACATTTCACTTCAACTTAAAAAGAAACATTTTTTTCCCTCCCTGACTCAGAAAACTAACTGGTAATATTGTTAAGTAGGAAAACTACTTAAATCTCAGCTTCCCTGAAGAGTTTATATTTGGCATACTAGGGATATTTCCAACACCATTCCTTAAATTCCTCTAAAGACCTCTCCCACTTACAGTAGCACTTGCCCAAGACTTCAATAAGGCCTTTCTCTTCGCAAGCTTCCATATTCTAAGTTACTTGGAAACTGTGATTGAAAAAAAATAGGTGTAGAAATAGTTTTTCTACGAGATCCCATGTATTCCCTTTCTCTATCTCCAAAAAATTTAGGGTATATATAATTGAAATTCATTTTTAATTACAAAAACTCTCTAGATTGGCTGGGCATGGAGGCTCACACCTGTAATCTCAGCACCTTGAGAGGCCGAGGCGGGAGGATTGCTTAAGTCCAGAAGTTCGAAACCAGCCTGGATAACATAGTGAGACCCTGTCTCCACAAACAATAAATAAGTAAATAAAATAAAAATAAATTAGTCAGGTATGGTGGTGCCCACCCGTAATCCTAGCTACTCAGGCTAGGTGGGAGGCTGAGATGGGAGGATCCCTTGAGCCCATGAGTTGGAGGATGCAGTGAGCTATGATTATATCACCGTACTCCAGCCCAGGTAACAAAGTGAAACCCTGGTTCTATTAATTAATTGATTAATTAAAATAAATAAAACACTTTAGGTCATCTCACACATTTTTGCTTTAAAATTTCAGAAAGATGCCTGCTATCAATATGTAATTACATTTAAGTCATCTTCTAGTTCACTGTACCAGTGTGCCCATTCAGAAAAACACAGGAAAATAATAATGAGTTATTTCTATGTGTCAGGCACTCAATTAATGAGTCTCAATAAATGTGAAAGACCTAAGGTGTAATGTTATTTGTTAACTGCGTGATACTGGGCATATTACCCAATTACTCTCAACCTTAATTAGTTTTTTTCTTTTTCTTTTTTTTTTTTTTTTGAGTTAGAGTCTCACTCTGTCACCCAGGGTGGACTGCAATGGCATGATCATGGCTTGCAGCCTTGACCTGCCTAGACTCAGGCAATCCTTCAGCCCCTTCCAAGTAGCTGGGACTACAAGGTATACCACCACATCCACTAATTTTTTTGATTTATTGTAGAGATGAGGTCTCACCAAGTTGCCCAGGCTCAGGCAATCTTCTTGCCTCCACCTCCCAAAGTACCTCATAGGGTTCCTTTTAGGTTTAAACTAGCAAACAGTCATAGACTTAGGAACAATATTTGGCACCTAGAGTTTGCTGCCCACAGCCAGCACCAATAAAATGAAACTGAGAACCAGAACTGCTTCGGGAAAGAGAAGCTGGCCACAATTCCTGGCAAAGAGCTGAAGAATCAAATTAGCATTGTCTCAAGAATCTTCAGCCTGTGGGCCTCCATCCATTTGGAGGGAGGTTTGGAGAACTATTAGGGAAGAGCCCTGAGGCAGACTGGTCCTAAGACAAAACCAAAGGTTGTGGATGAGACCAGACTAGTCTCTGGAATGCAACATTTGACTCGGGTTGGCACTTAGAAGCAATGCAATAGGGTTTGCTTTGAAAAAATGTAACGTTATGTAAATTGTTATTACTACATACACACACGCTAACACACACAGCTGCCAGTCCTTGGGCAGAGGTGGATTATTGGTTGCATGGCTGAGGAGAAGACAGAGGTGGATTATAGATTGCATGGTTGTATCACAGAAAGCAAGGGAGGTGGTTGTTAGGAAGGCTAGAGCAGGGGATGACTGAGGCTTTCAAGGCAAAATGCCCAGGTTCAAATCTTGGCTCTATCTCCCACTTCTCCATGTGAACTCAGGCAAGTTAAATAATTTTTCTATGCCTAAATTTCTTCCTGTGTAAATACAGATAGCAGTATAGCTGTAAGATTTTAAAAGTTAATATATATAAAATATTGTATATATTTCTATAAACTCTTACAAAGTTTCCTGGCACATAGCAAATATCACTCTCCTCATCTATAAAGTGAGGATAATAAAATTCTGGACTTCATAGAGTGTTATAAGAATTAAATAAAGCATATCTATAAAGCGCTTAACATATAATAAATAAATAAACATTAGGTATTTTTGTTAAAACATGAATGAGTACCAAAAAAGAAATTTAAACCCGAGAAAAAGATTTCATTACGGAATGTAGCAGAAATTATTGTGAAAATCCCTATTTCTACTTTGGTGTTGAATATATTTACTGGGAAACCATGAGTAACTTGGCATACTTATCCAATCTCCACTGTGTAAAACGCATCTGAATAATTCCATCTCTTAGATCTGTCAAAGGATTAAAGTCATAGATACAAAATACAATCCCCACCCCAAAAAAAGGCAGAAAGAAAGAATAAGAAAAGAAACCAAACTTAAAACAGCATTTTTTTTTTAAAGTCAGAGTCTCACTCTATTGCCCAGGCTGGAGTGCAGTGGCACGCTCACGACCACCACAGCCTCAACCTCCTGGGCTCAAGCAAACTTTCTGCCTCAGCCTTCCAAATAGCTGGAAATACAGACACGTGCCACCATGCTCAGCTAATTTTTATTTATTTATTTATTTATTGTAGAGATGAGATCTTGCCAAGTTGCCCGGCTGGTCTCAAACCCCTGGGCTCAATGCAATCCTCTCATCTCTGCCTCCAATGTGCTGGAATTACAGGCGTGAGCCACCATGTCCAGTCAAAAACAGCACTTTTTAAACAATATTCTCCTCAATAATCATTCACTGACAAATAAAACATTAAATTGACTAGCATAAAAATTAATCAGAAAGCTTTTTACAATTTTACTTATGGACAAAAAAACCACTTTTATAATTTTAAAAATGGGCATTCATAAAGAAACTTGTTGCAACAAGTTTTCCAGAGAACAGAACAAATGTTGCCATAAAATTTAGAATTAAAAGGTCAACTAATTGGAACCCAAATAAGCATCACTTTTATATAGGCCATAAGGGAACCAAGAGAGTGCAGAACCAAGAACTTGTTGAGATGGATACTGTGGTCAACAGCGTCAACTACTAAGAGGCTAAGGCCAGAACTGGGAAGAGTCTATAAGGTTTAGCAATGGGGATATTGGTGGATCTTGATAAACTAATCATATGGAGAAGTTGAGGTTGTGAAAAATACCAGATAAATTACACTACAATGTGAGAAATGATTTGTACAGAAAGAAGATCAAAAACAAAAGATGAGTCACTAACTTTGCATTAGGAAAAGCATCCCCAAATCGGAGCTATTCAACTAAGAGTTTTATTTTCAAGCTATAATTTTTTTTTTTTTTATCCTAATACCAATAAATAAAGCACATTGAGGATTATTCCACAAAACTTAATCCTGGGTCATCATTGACTCAAAGTAAGTAGGATAACTTTGGTCTTTCTACCTATAAGATGTTAAAGCACAAAAATGTAAGACAATATATATGAAAGTTTAAACTGAATGATGTTGCACTGGATTTTATTAGAATACTTCTGCTCAAAGAGATTCTTGATTAGCAACAGAGGAAGATTTAAGACCTTTTTTGGAGCTGTGATACATGTGGCTGTCTCCATTCCAAAAGAATTGTGTAGACTTAAGAAACCACCTGTAAATTCTTCTGATCAGTTCTGTACGACCATTAATATCATTGATCAATTCATCAAGACAGCACTATCCAAGAGAAATATGTGAGCCACACGTGCAATTTTACATTTTCTAGAACACACATTAAAAAGGTAAAAAGAAACCAGCAAAATTAATTTTGATATTGTCTAACCCAGTAGCCAAAATGCTATCACTTCAACACATAGCCAATATAAAAATTATTGCTGAGATATTTTACATTCTTTCTTTCATGCTAAATCTTTGAAACCCAGCGTTTATTTTACATTTGCAACACATTTCCATTTGAACTAGCCTCATTTAAAGTGTTCAGTAGTCACATGTGGCTGGTGGCCGCCACATTAGACAGCACAGGTATAGAATCCAAGTTCACTGAAAACAGGAACATGAGCTATCATCTTGTTCACATATGTCACTGTAGTATTGAGTACAGTGTCTAGCACATATTAGTCCCAAAGAACATTGCTGAATAAATGAATGAATGAATCTTTCATACACATATTTGCAAAAATATTCCTGTGATGTAAATGAAATTCTAATTACATGAGTATTAATAAGAAAAGCATTAAATTATATTAAACACAATTATTAATTATTAAGAAAAGCACGTAATTATATTAAGCTCAATTTTAGCCCAGACAATAATTTAGTAATACATACTCAACACAAATTCCTAAATAGATGCATCTTTGAAATACAGTATAAACTCATTTTACCATCAATAGAGAATTTTCTTCTATAATCATTTTAACATGATTTTCCTAAACATTTGGAAAATCATAGGCTGTCACACTCCTCTAATAAAATCAAATAAATTATAGCTTTTTCTTCTGGAATGAATGAACTCTACATTCATCAAACACACACAATTCTCACATAATCCACTAGCATTTGCAAGAAATATTTTTTGTGTTACTATCCGATCCACTCTAACACTGGCAAAAAAATATGCCAAATATAGCTTCAAACATTTGATGAAAATTAAATTATATTCATTATTTTTTAAAAGCTTAACCTTAAAAGTTCTGAGATTGTTTAATATAAATGAAACAGGCCCCAAGTGGTCGACACATTAACAACAAAGATGAGAGAAAAGCTTACCTTCTCTGCTAAGAGCTCTCGTATTTTGCTTGCTTGAACTCTAAATTTCATGAGCTGGGACTCCAGAGTTACACATCGTTCTTTCCAGTCTTCAGGTCCTTCTGGCTCAGAAAGTTCTGCCATATTGATTCTAAAAACAAAGGCATTCAAATGGCACAATACAAATTAGCATTCAGATTCATTCATTAAATCATCCAGTGTATACACTCTAGTCATCATCTAATGATATCCACATACAAGCTTTAAATTCTAAGATAAATTCCAGAACCAGTGATAACTTAAGGAAAAAAACCTAGTGGGAGCCAGGGAGCCAGGGTTGGAGGCTCAACCATGCTACTTAACCTTTCTATGCCTCGGTTTACTCAATCCAGAAAAAGGAACATGCTCACAATAACAAGTCATTCTTCCTCAAGGCTCTGCTGTGAAGAGCAAAAGAAAGATTACTGTTTCTAACAAACTTTGGTCAGTTTAATAGCACATCACAACCACCGAGCACTATTAATATTTTAGCCCTGTACAACGGATAAGATAGTTTAACTCAATCAGTTTATAATTTTACCTCTTTTTTGTTGTTGTTGTTGTTGTTTATTGAGTTGGAATTACACTCTGTCCCTCAGGCTGGTGTGCAGTGGCATGCTCTGGGTCACTGCAGCCTCGACCTACTGGGCTCAGGTGATTCTTCCACTTCAGCCTTCCAAGTAGCTAGACCTATAGGCACACACCATCAAATCTGGCTAGTTTTTTGATTTATTGTAGAGATGGGGTCTCGCCAAGTTGCCCAGGTTGGTCTTGAACCCGTGGGCTCAGACAATCCTCTCACCTGAGCCTCCTAAAGTGCTGGGATTATAGGCATGAGCCACCGCACCCATCTAACTTTTAAATTTACAGGAGTATCACGACTTGATTCAACTGCAACAATTATGGTTTAGATAGGTGTTATGTTCATTCCTTACCAAGACTCTAAATTTGTCCAAGTCCAGGCTAAGACTTTCAAGCCATAAATCCTTTGGTATATTTAACTGGGTAAGTTATGATCCTCACAAGTTTGCATGATTTTTATTTAGTGTAAGAAGAGAGAGCGCATACAAAAGTCAAAATTGGCAACATTAAGTGAACCTGGAATCAAGGTTTTCCATATTAACTTTCCTTTTGGAGGAGATTAATTCCAGGGAGAAGATCTGTAAGGGGGAGGACAAGCAACAAGGGAACCTGGTTTTGAAATTCTTAAGTGTGGCTTGATTTTGGTAATATGATTGCTTCTGGCCCTGAGATTCATGAAAGTAATTTAAAATATTTGTTAATATTTTATCAGGCTATTTTAGTAAGTAGTCTAATAAATTATTTCTGAACTGCCCTTGTTCTGAACTGATAAAATTTACATTAGGAATGGAAAGCTCCAGTTACGGAGAACAAGAGTCAGCTAAACTCTCCCTGGGCTGGGCACGGTGGCTCACGCCTGAAATCCTAGTGCTTTGGGAGACTCAGGCAAGGAGATCACTTGAGCCCAGGAGTTCAAGACCAGCCCGGGCAACATTAGTGAAAACTCGTCTCTACCAAAAAAAAAAAAAAAAAAAAAAAACTAGCTGAATGGGATGGCACACTCTTGTAGTCTCAGCTACTTGGGATACTGAGGCTGGAGGATCACTTGAGCCCAAGAGTTGGAGGGTGCAGTGAGCCGTACTCATGCCACACTGCCTTCCAGTCTAGGAGACAGTGAAACCCTGATCAAAAAAAGAACACCAAAACACAAAAAAACCTCTTCCTGGGATGCTACTGCAGCTGAAGTATACCATTCCACTCTTATATAAAATTTTTATAATAATACAACCAAATCAATTTTGCCAGTATTTAATGTAATGTAACCCCTCCCTAATGCTATATCAACTTTTAAAACTGTGTATGCTAAAAACCCACTAAAAAAATTATTTTCCTAGAATAAATACTGTTTTGTGCTAAAATCTGTTTTCACATTAGTACTGCTATCATCATTCAATAGTTTAGAGAGAAATAAGCAGAATTGTTCTACAAAGGTCACAACTTTGATTAAGCACACCCCAAACATCTCGAAGCCTCCAAATGCCCCTAAATTCTAGCCATGACTTAAGGAAAACATGAATGTAGAGCTGAAGATCATTTTCTTTTCATTTCTTTGTTTCTATGGAATCCTAACTCTATTGTTTTCTGAGTTTTTTTCTCTAAGAATATTAGCTTGTTAATGGTGTTTTTCATTATCCATAACAGCATTGACCAGTAATAATTCACACTGGCATTTACTACCAGTGGCTTAAGAGTAGATAGGGCAGTTTGTCAATCACAAACTTTTTCTCAATGTTGCTGCTACTTCATGTCAGTCCTTGTTAGCTTTAGAGCGAACAGGGAAAGAAAACACAGATGACATATTAAAAAAAGAAAAGCGGTCTGAAATGGACATCCTTAAGTCTTGGGCCATTCACATCATTGCACAGAAATAGAGGGACACTCTATTTCAATCAACAAGAGGAGTCTATTTAAAGTTGGTTAATTTTTGCTCTACGTTTTAAGTTCTACTGTAAAAATCCACAGTTTAAAAAATAAAAGTGAGTACATATTTTCCAACAAATGAAAATCAATGTAATGCACCACATAAATAGAATAGACAGAAACTCTATGATCATTTCGACAGACACAGAAAAACCATTGACAAAATCCAACACCCCTCCACGATAAAACCATTCTAGAAATAGAAGAAAACTTCCTTAACCCGATAAAGGACATCTACAGAAAGTCCACAGCTAAAGTAATACTTCCTGGTAAATGACTAAACGTTTCCCCCTAAAAACAGGAATAAGACAAGGACATCTGCTCTCACCACTTCTATTCAATATTGTACAAGACATTCTAACCAGGGCAAGAAAATAACAAAAAACATCCAGATCAGAAAGGAAGAAGTAAAACTATTGACAGATGTCATGATCATGTATATAAAAAAGTATAAGGAATTCACCAAAAGATTATTAAAACTATTAGGTTTCTCAAGGTTTCATTAAACCAGATAAATATTCAAAACATCGATTGTTTTCTATACACTCACAAGGAAAAAATCCAAAAATGAAGTTAAGAAAATATTTCATTTACAAAAGCATCAAAATAAAAGAAATACATAGGGATAAATTTAACAAAAGAAGTACTTGTACTCTGAAAACTGCAAAACACCACTGAAAGAAATTAAAGAATAGTGAATAAATGGAATAAAGTTTATGTTCATAGGTGGAGGCCTTAATATTGCGCAGATGCCAATACTTGCAAATGGATATACACACTCAATGCAACACCTATCAAAATTCCTACTGTAGTTTTTGCAGACATGAACAAATTAATCCTAGAATTCAGCTGGCAATTCAAGGGACAGACAAGAGTCAAAACAATGTTGAAAAGTTGGAAGACACACATTCGAATTTCTAAACTTACTATAAAGCTACAGTAATCTAGATGGCGTGGTATTTGCATAAAGATATACATATACATCAACAGAATAAAGTCTCACGTTTACAGTCACTTGATTTTTGGCAAGCATGACAAGATCATCCAACGGGGAAAGAATAGTCTTTTTAACAAAAGATTCTGGAACAACTGGATATCCTCATGCAAAACAATGAATTTGGACCCATGCCTCATACCATATACACAAATTAACACAAAATGGATCAAAAATCTATTTGTAAGAGCCAAAGCTCTAAATCTTCATGATCTTGAATTAGGCGATGGTTTCTTGGATATGACACCTAAAGCTCAAGCAAAGAAAAAAATAGATAAATTTGACTTCATATTTTAAAATTTTGTGCTTCAGAAGATACCCTCAAGAAAGTGCAAAGAAAACCCAAAGAATGAGAAAAAATATCTGCCAATCAAGTATCTAGGGGACTTGTGTCTAGAATATATAATGAACTTTTACAACTAAACAACAAAAGACAACCCAATTAAAAAGTGAACTAAGTATCTGAAATAGACATTTCTCCAAAGAAGATATCCAAATGGCCAATAAGCACATGAAAAGAAGGTCAGCATCATTAGCTATAAGGAAAAATGCAAATCAAGTGGCATTCCATTTCATATCAAATAGGGTGTTACAATGAAATGAAAGAGACATATAATAGGTGTGGTGAGGATGTGGAGAAATTGGAACCTGTATGTAAATATAAAGTTCTATATGACCCACAACTCCAACACTAAGTATATACTCAAAGGAAATGAATATACGTCCACACAAAAACTTGTACACAAATGCTCATAGCACCATTATTTTTAATAGCCCAAAAGTGGAAATAACCCATGTCCATCATCAGATGAATGAATAAGCAAAGTACAGGAGGTCCACACAACGAAATATTACTCAACCAGAGAAAGGGAACAAAGTACTAATACATGCAAAAGCAATGACCAAACTTTGAAAACATTATGCTAAGTGAAACATGCCAGACACAAAAGGTTACACATTGTATTTATAAGAAATGTCCAGAATAGGTAAATCCAAAGAGGCAGAAAATAGGTTAGCAGTTGTCAAGAGCTGTGAGGAGAGGGCAGTGGGGGCTGACTACTGAGTATGAGGTGATGAAAATACTCTAGAATTAGATAGCGTTGATGGCTACACAACCTTGTGAATATATCCAAAACCACTAAACTATACAGTTTGAAAGGATAACTCTTATAGTTTGGGACTTGTACCTCAAAAACAGGGTCATATATTTACAAATAAGTAAAGAAAAAGTAGCAGTTTAAAATGGATGTATACTAGGGCCACATTTACAAATTTAATGACTATTATTTGTAGTTATCCCTGGTAAGAATGTCACCATTAACTCAAACAATTGGAAGGTAACCATGAACTTTAAATATGAAAAGTATCATACATATATCTTACCTAGAGCACTCTTACTAAGAAAATGACACAGTAAGTAAATTCAAAGTTAAACATGCCCATTCATTTCTTTAGCTATGCTAATTACATTTTTATAAGAAAGTAGCAAAGCCATAAGAATATTATTAAACTGACATTTTACATCTGCGTTCCCTATTAGTGGGTCATAATTTTTTAAAAATTCAATACTGCAGATTGGTTGGATAATGATCCTCACTACGGCCTAGAC